TACATCCATGACACTAATGAGAGGTGACAATAAACTTAATTGCATACAGATTCGTTAGCATCAATTTGCAGGCAGAAACTTTAAGCCTTTCGCCATGACATCTGTGCATAAAGACAGTTCTCTTGTATTTAAGAGTTGTAGAGTCCTCATCGCGTTTGCTTTATGGGCTATATCATTTGGATCCATTACAGTTTAGTAAATTGTCATTCTGGCAAAATATACTTCATATCTTGTCGAGGTTCGGGCCGACTGGTTAATTTCATTATTTGCTTTACAGTGAAATTTTATATACCCACTCTGGAGTGCTAAAACGGTCAGTAGGTCTGACCGCTAGACATATTCGGTAAACACGCTATAATGAACTCTATTTGCGATTTAAGGCCTTTCTTCTTTTATCAGAACTCACTTCAACGGCAACTACTCTTATACTACCTTTTGTCACACTCTCTGCTTGCAAATTTATGCATTCAATGGGGTTTGCTTGGTCGGAGTGTTGGAGAGACTTCCTGAAGTTGGTCGGGCTTTATAGTCAGTTGAACAACACTTGATTGTGAGTTTTCGAGGTAACATCTCCAAGTCCCATCAACAAATAGTCCGTTTCCAGAAAAAAGGGCAGAAATTGAAGATGTGAAGACCAAGATGTTGTGGCCTCGGGTATGGTCGCAGTCTCCTTTCGACTTGTAGAAGTGGGTTGACCTCGCTGTCGCAACTTGGTCTTGTGTTAAGAGAGACTATGTAGAACGCACTAGGCCACACTAGGTTTGCCACAAAAGGCACACATTTGGATGATTGAAATGAGACGTTGTGATGGGACGGCAGTGGGATAAGAGGGTAAAGAGTAGATAGATAGACAATGACAAAAAGAGGAGTGATAGTGTAACCGTTTTCGACAGAACGGTTGTCAAGACATTGACTTCATTTGTCTCTGACGCGTTCGTAGCTTGGTGCCGAGAATAACAAAACTCACTGATGATGCCGACTACGATGCCGGCGAAACGTTTGAGAATGTATCAAGTCCACTGTCAGCTGCTGGGAATCATGACAACTACTATGGCAGACGACTTCGGACTCGGTGCGTTCTACATGGTCTCCCTGAAAAGCTCACTGATGATGCCGACTACGATGCCGGCGAAACGTCTGAGAATGTATCAAGTCCACTGTCTGATACTGTGCCGACTACGATGCCGGCGAAACGTTTGAGAATGTATCAAGTCCACTGTCAGATGCTGGGAATCAAGACGATGATGCCGACTACGAGGCCGGCGAAACGTCTGAGAATGTATCAAGTCCACGGTCAGATGCTATGCCGACTACGATGCCGGCGAAACGTTTGAGAATGTATCAAGTCCACTGTCAGATGCTGGGAATCAAGACGCTACTATGGCAGACGACTTCGGACTCGGTGCGTTCTACATAGTCTTCCTGAGCACAAGACCAAGTTGCGACAACGAGGTCAACCCACTTCTAAAAGGGCAGAAAGCCTGTTGGCTGTAGGGCTACGGATCACTTGGTCTCCGATTTCGGATTGTATCCAGCGATGATTGTTTAACACCAAAAAGCTCTGAAAGACGAATGACCGAAGAAGAATGGAAAAGATACACTTGAGTAAAACCTTCTAATTTCAGTCAAGCTTTGCACTGAAAGTTCGTTCTTATTTAGATTTGTCTGTACTTTGACGACCAAATGTTTAAAATTCAAATTATGACTAGTTTGCAACGATACAATGTTCTGGGCAGTAACTACGCGAGCATTTATCTCGTTGTAGGCAGAGGCATC